GGGACAAGGTGCTTTGGGGGGGAGCCCCCCTGCCACAAGGCACCCCCCATATTGAGGGTATGTGGCCTGGTAGGGGTCGGGGGGGCGCTTGCCCCCCCCCCCTTTCCTGACCTGCTGGGCTGCATGCTCGGATAAGGGTCTGGTATGGATTTTGGGGGGAACCCCAGGCAGTTTTTTTTTTTTCTAATTTTGGCGTGGAGTTACCCCTTAATATCCATACCAGACCCGAAGGGCTTGGTATGGATGGGAGGGGGGACCCCACGCCATTTTTTTTTTTAATTTCGAACCTTTATTTTTAGATTCGGCTGTCAAAATATATATTATCTAGACCTTCGAAATATGTAAAATAAATACAGAAATAATTATAAAGCATAAGAAACAAAAACAGAATCAACAGAACTAGGGAAATCAAATTAGAATACATAAAGATATGCCTAGCTACAAATAGTGTTGTTTGTTAAACACAGTAGATGCGATCGAGTGCCGTCTGTCAGAGGACTCAACACAGAGATTTACTACTAAACAGCGTCTAAAAAGAAAGTGCCCACGGCAGACAGCTAAAATGTGTTCTGCACATGCGCATTTATATCTGTCCATAGACGGTGGAAAAGCGTCTAGTTCTTCACTGTCATGACTTCCTTTAAAAAACTATTTTTTACACATTTAAAAAAATTTTGAAATGTAAGATATTGCTTAAAGTGAAGTCCAGATATTTGGGAAAGCAAATTTCAATGTGAACATATCTCTGCAGTGATTTTTCATGGTGTTAGACGTGCTTCTTAGCAAGTCTGCTTTTTGAGACTGATTCCTGGATTGTGCCTCGTTATTAAATTCGATTTTGCGTCTACTTGTTGACGCTTTCTTTAGTAAATGTCTTTTCCGTCTAAAAGTAGACGTCACTATTAAAATGTAGACGTTAGCCCACGGAAATGCTCCTAGGCACATTAGTAAATCAGGGTCCGTGTGTCAACCGTGATGGTGAATCACTCTAGTGCAAAAAGAATATTCAAGTGTCAATAGCCGTGTATTATTATTATTATTATAATACAGGATTTATATAGCGCCAACAGTTCAGCGCTTTACAATATACCGGGTGTACACTTCTTTATTGTAAGGAATATATACCCTTACTAAATGGACTTAAAAACCATGCCTTAATACCACTAAGGGTATAATATATTTACTCCAATGACCGCCTTCCCAGCCTGAGTATTGGTCTTTATGATATCATCTCAGCCTCAAAGATGTTTCTCCTAGATGTCATCTGGGCTTCTGAGTACTCCATAGTAGTCATAGTACCCATGCTCCACCGATATACATGATATATGGAAAGGATATAGTGTAAAACACCATATTCCCATGACTCCAAACCTTTGTATTGTCCGAGCAGCTCCCAGGAGTGTTTGGTAGGAATGTCCAATTTCCAAAATGGCCACTCCGCCACTTCCGGTTCCTCTGTGTGCGTCTGACGTCACTTCCCTTGACGTGTTTCGTCACTTCCAGGACTTAATGATTAAGTGATGTCAGAACGCATACGGAGGAACCGAAAGAGGCGGAGCGGCCATTTTGGAAATTGGAAATTCCTACCAAACAGCTGCTCGGACAATACAGAGGTTTGGAGTCATGGGAATATGGCGTTTTTAAGGTTTTATTAATGCAAGAGCAATAATAAAGTATATTCTGAACATTATATACGGAATTACACTATATCTTTTCCATATATCATGTATACCGGTGGAGCATGGGTACTATGGAGCTCTCAGGCTAAAAGTCCAGATGACATCTAGGAGAAACATCTTTGAGGCTGAGATGACATCATAAAGACCAATACTCAGACTGGGAAGGCGGTCATGGAGAGTAAATATATTATGCCTTTAGTGGTATTAAGGCGTGGTTTTTTAAGCCCATTTGATAAGGGTATATATTCCTTACAATATAGAAGTGTACACGGCTATTGACACTTGGATGTTATTTTTGCACTAGAGTGATTCACCATCACAGTTGATACACAGAGTTCACTTTTCACTTATGTGGTCACGTTTGATTTGAAGTTGCATATTGTTATTTTGATTATTTGTATTTATAAGGGTAAACACACTATATACGTTTTTCTTTCTTTGAGGTTCACATTGTCCGTTGGAGCCATTTGGAAGGCTCGCTAACCGGGATTTTCCATATTGGAATCATTATTGTGAAACACTTTATTTTGGACATGAGTGCATAATTTTTGTTATTGGAATTATTATTGGGAATTACTTTAATTTTGGACACAATTGCATAATTTAAATTTTTTTAGAGACTATATGTTTTCACATTTTTTTCACAATTAGTTATTTTTTTTTTTACTTCAGTAGGGTTTGAGCATATTGAGGTTGTACATATACATGTTTGGTATCTATTTACTCGGCATACCATCATCTTTTATATTTTACCACATAAATGGCCAATATATTGTGTTTTGTGCATTAAAAGTAGAAAAAGTGTATTTCTGTTCAAAAAATTTGCGTTTGAAAAATCGCTGCGTGAGTGTTATGTCACATAAAAAATTGCAGTACCCACCATTTTATTCATATATAGAATTTATATATAATGTTTGAGGGTACAAAGTAGTTTCTTAGCAAAAAATATTGATTTTTGTCATGGTAACAAAGTGTCAGAAAAGGCTTGGTCTTCAGGTGGTTAGAAGAGTGAGTGATGTGTAGCATAAACTTCTAATGCTGGGCATAAAATGCCCCCACCACCCAAAACAACCCCTTTTTGGAAAGTAGACACCCCAAACTATTTGCTGAAAGGCATGTTGAGTCAATAGAAGAGTTTATTTTTTTTACCACAAGTTTTTGGAAAATTACAAAAAAAATGTTTTTTTTTTTTTTACACAAAATTGTCTCTTAAATGATTTATTGCTCACACACATGCCATGGGTATATGTGGAATTACTCCCTAAAATACATTCTGCTACTTCTCACGAGTATGGGGGTACCACATGTGAGAGACATTTTGCAAGTCTAGCCAAGTACAGGACCCCAAAATCCAATAAGCACCTTCAGGCTTTTAAAGGGCTTTATTACCTCATTACACTTCCTGACTACCTATCACCGTTTTTGAGGCCCTGAAATGCCAGGATAGCACCAAACCCCTCCCAAATGACCCCTTTTTGGAAAGTAGACACCCCAAGGAATTTGCTAAGAAGCATGGTGAGTATTTTGCAGATCTCGTTTGTTGCCACAAGTTTTTGGAAAATAAAGAAAAAAAAACATTTTTTCTTTTCTTTTTTTATATTTCAAAACCTAGTGAGAAAAAATTAGATCTTCAAAATACTCACCATGCCTCTTTTTAAATTCCTTGAGGTGTCTAGGTTCCAAAAAGGGGTCATTTGGGGGGGTTTGGTTCTATCCTGGCATTTCAGGGCCTCCGAAACTGTGATGTGGTAGTGAGGAAGTGAAACGAGGAAGTTACACACCTTCAGGCTTTCAAAGTGGTCATTGGATTTCAGGCTCCTGTATGTGGCTAGGCTCCCAAAACGTCTCACACATGTGGTATCCCCATATTTGGTAGAAGTAGCAGAATGTATTTTGGGGTGTAATTCCACATTTACCCATGGCTTGTGTGAGAAATATTTAAGTAAAAGCTGTGTAAATTCCATAGTTATAGCATCTACAAACTATGGTATAGGCAATCACACAAAGCTATCAATATACACTTATTGGGATTTTTTTTTAACTAGAAACATGTAAGAGAACACATTTTGACGTACATTCATGACAAAATTTGAGTTTTTTGGATATTTTTTATGACAGAAATAAGAAAATATTGTTTTTTTTTTTTTTAATTTTTCTAAATATTTTTCGTTTATAGCGCCAAAAAAAAGTGCACAGGTGATCAAATACCACTGAAAGAAAGCTCTATTTGTGTGAAAAAAGGATGTAAATTTCATTTATGTACCATATTGCATGACCGCTCAATTGTCAGTTAAACTAGTGAAGCGCTGTATAGCAAACAAATGGCATGAATTGCAGTATCTATATCATAATTTAAAAAACCTCCTCAGCGTCTGTGAATCCTCAAAATATCATATTTTCACTTGATCCATCTCCAAAATTAACTCTTTAGTGTCCACGTGTACCTCAAAAAGAACAAAAACTACATATAGTGCATTATCCTCAAGAATACAATTAAAGTAAAAATCAACTCTCAATGTGTGTTTGTGTTCAAAATTTTTAAAACATCACCCAGTGTCCACTAAATGTGACTGCATTAAATACTATTACCCTAAAAATACTTTATATAGCTTTACATCTCATTCCTCATAAGAATCCACTCAAGGCTGATCCTACGGACGCATTATCATCCTCATAAGGAATACCTCTGAAGAAAAATGTATCATAGTGTAATATCCATTGGACATGTGATAAGTGCTCCCCTCTTCAACACCACTAGTTAAACGAAAAAACACTCTCCACCACCTTCCAAAAAATGCATCTTACTGGACTACAAATATCCAATAGCATAAATAGAAATGGATAAGAGATGGCTCCTCTTAATCCACATTGGTCCAATCTCCAATCGCATTAGAGCATCATATCATAGTTCAAAAAAAGAGAAAAAGACCATATAGTGTAGTAAGTTGTATAAATGGTCTACTTTATTAAAAATGTGCTTACAAGAAAAAACCTCTAAAATCGCATGTGTCCTCCGTAAGAAAAAGTGTAATGTCCATCCAATACAGCACAGGGTATACAGAACCTCTTGCAAGATGGCCGCTCCGCTACTTCCAGTTTATGTCTAACGTCACGTCCCATATCAAAGATGGCCGCTGGAGTGCTCAGATCAACCTCCCATAAATTGTCCTTGGCTCCACCTCTCAATCTAGCTCTATCGTCCATTAAATTTACTGAAAGCTCTTCAAGAAATGGCAGATCTGGTCTGTCAGCCCGCCAGTCTGCAGTGCTGGATCCCCACTGAGCAGCAGTCAATGATTGCTAAGAATGCCAGCCAGAGGTATGGGGTATGGCGGTGATCAGGACATTAGCATGAGGTATGGCAGTGATTAAGACTCTGGCATGGGTGTGGACGCTGGTATGGGGTATGGCGGTGATCAGGATGCTGGTATGGGGTACGGTGGTGATCAGAAGTCTGGTATGGGGTATGGCAGTGATCAGAACACATACAGGTATGGGGTATGGCGGTGATCAGGACACTGGTATGGCATATGGTGTGATCAGGATGCTGTTATGGGGCATGACAGTGATCAGGATGTTTGTATGGGGTATGGCGGAGATTAGTGTGCTGGTACAGCAGTTGACAGTGATCAGGGTGTTGGTATGGGGTATGGCGGTGATCAGATGATCTGCTGTACACTCACAGGCTGCAGGATCGCTTCTCTCTGCTCTCAGTGTGAGAGCAGAGAGAAGCAATCTTTAGTGTCAATTTACAATGTTTACAATGTCACTGCTGTGATTGGTCATGCTCTGTGAGCTGCACAGGAGACACAGATGCAGGCTGACGTACAGGTATATTTGCCCGCTTTGGCAAAGATTCCCGTCCCCCATGTATATGAGAGAAAGAGAGAGAAGGGGGGGAGAGAGAGAGATATCCAAGCTGCAGGTGCAAGATATCCTTTAGCTGTTTGCAGGCGGGCATCTCTGTCTGGGCAGAGCAGAGATCTTTCCTGTCAGCAGACTCCATCAGTGGGCGCAGGTCTACTTCCACAGGCACCTACAGTGCCTTGAAAAAATATTCATACCCCTTTAAATTTTACACATTTTGACATGGTAAAACCAGAAACATAAATGGATTTTATGTGATAGACCAACACAAAGTGGCACATAATTGTGAAGTGGAAAGGAAATGAAAAAAATATTTACAAATAAATCTGTGAAAAGTGTGGAGTGCATTTATTCTTATAGCCCCCTTTACTCTTATACCCCTAACTAAAATCTAGGGGAACCAATTACCTTCAGAAGTCACCTAATTAGTAAATAGAGTCCACCTAGGTGTAATTTTATTCTCAGTATAAATACAGCTGTTCTGTGAAGCCCTCAGAGGTTTGTTAGAGAACATAAGCAAACAAACTGCATAATGAAGGCCAAGAAACACACCAGACAGGTCAGAGATAAAGTTGTGGAGAAATTTAAAGCAGGGTCACCAGGCATCAGGTCATCTGGCTCGACAGCGGACACCGAGTCATCTGGCAAGGCAGTAGGCACCGAGTCATCAGGCACGACAGCGGGCATCAGGTCATCTGGCTCGACAGCGGGCACCGAGTCATCTGGCAAGACAGCGGGCACCGAGTCATCTGGCAAGACAGAGGGCATCGGGTCATCAAGCAAGACAGCGGGCACCGGGTCATCTGGTTCGACATCGGGCATTGGGTCACCAGGTATTGGATCGTCTGGCTCGACAGCGGGCATTGGGTCACCAGGCATTGGATTGTCTGGCTCGACAGCAGGTACCGGGTCATCGGGCATTGGATCGTCTGGCTCGACAGCGGGCATCGGGTCACCAGGCATCAGGTCATCTGGCTCGACAGCTGGCATTGCATGGAAGCAATCTGGATCATCCTCCAACAACCATACCAGTGATTCCACTTGATCCACACTAAATGGGGGAAAAAGTCATTCCTGCTTTCAGGGGTACAGGACCGAGCCAACTCAGCACAAACCTGGATCAATGGCTGCACCTCAGAAAACTCTGTGCCCTGATCTACTAGGCAATGAGCGATCCTTATACACTCTAGTAGTTGATCCCTGGGATACTCCTTCAGAGTCTGATAAGCATAGTCTTTGTCATCAAACACTAGCAGAGATAAATACACCACCTCATCAAGATCCATCCTACCCAGCAACAATAAGCCAAGATGGCTTCCCTGTGCAGCCACTTCTGGTCACGATTGGCCTTTGTGTAATGTCAGGGCTCCAGGTATGACTAGAGGTGTGTGGACTGACACAGGGAAACGCAGGCTTCAGATATGGTATAAACAATATAATTTATTAAGACTAACAATACAAAACACAGTGCAAACAAACCAAACCAAACCACCCACCGATAACAATACATACAATACAAAGAGTAGTCAGGCAGGCCGGGTCAGTAGCAAACGGACAAACGGAGTACTAGGAACAGGCGGGAGAGTGGTCGGGGTCCCAAGCTGGGTTCAGTAACTCACGGCAGCAGCGCAGTGCAGAGGGTCAGGCAGAGAATGGTCAGGGTCACAAGCCAGGGATCAAACAGGAGAAGTCAGCAGAGGTCAGGATCAGGCAGGGTCGGCAACAAGTCAGGCAGAAACAGGATACAAGATACAGGGGCCCGTGGAAAAACACACACCAAGGCCCTGACTGTGAGTCTGGCCATTCCTTAAATACAACCCCTGCAATCAGCTTCAGCTGATGGTACTGCAGCCCACAAGGCAGGTGAGTCCCACCATTATTGGCAAGTCCATTCCTGACGGGGATTGTTCCTTTGAGTGTATATATCTTGTATCTGTATTAAAATAAATTAGTCTACTTTCTGGATTACTTCAAGATTGGTGTCATCTAGTCTTGTTTGGTCAGCTCTTTGGTCGGTGTTCGGATGGGGAATCGGTAGTCTAATGGAAATACCCAAGTGCAGTCAGGGGTCGGTTCCGTTACAACAGGTGATTCCATATTATTGAAAATGTGTATAAAAAATTCTAGATTATAACAATAATGCTACCTATGCCATTTGGAAAAATGAGACTACTGTAGAGCAAGAGAAAATATAGGATAGAAATATAAGAATTTTGGAAGGATGACCAGCTACTGGAAATATTAGTCAATTGATGTAACTATAAACTGAAGCACTAGAGGTATCAAGTGAGTAGGTGTAATTGTAGAGTATATGATAATCACTAGCCAGCACAAACAAAGCACATGGTGTACAAACAAACATGCAACATATGGATCAACTATAGTGCCGAAAGACAGACAAGAGGGGCGGTGAAACCCCCCCCATACAACTCCACCACTAAAGGACTGTCAGCTTGCCTCCCAAAAAAAAGAGGAGAACAATGGAGGCAATGCCAAGGAGACAGATCCATAAAATATTTAGCGAACTGTGCTGACTTCAAGTTCCTCTTTCAGTCCGCCAGGAGCCAAAGTTTCCAAGGTATAGATCCAAAATGTCTCTCTTTCACTGAGATGTTTAAAACATTCTGCTGTTGGCCCAGACCATCAGACCCTGAGAGGATTTTTGGTGAAATTTCAGGAAGCACCTGGGGACACCGTGGTTGTCCATGCCATCCTCGACAAAACATTGGTGTTCCCCAAACCTACTCCTGAGAGCCAGGATAGTACGACCCATATACAGCAAGCCACATGGACAAGAGACTACATATTCAGATGAACAGGTGTGAAACTCAGGGATGGGGTAAGTTTTACCCTTCGTGGTGAAGTCTCTCTGTCTATGTTGGACATGCTTGCAAGTGAGACACCTGGGTTTATGGGTTTATGGCCCTAATACATGCCATTGATAGAGAAGGTCCTTTCTTGGCCTGAATACCTTTTTGACCTTACTATTTTACTTTTAATATTTCAGGCCCGTCTATAGGAAACCTAACTTAGCTGCAAGTGATGATTTTAGATGGGGATCCTCAAGCAGTATGTACTAGTGTTTTGTAATATATGTTCCATATTTCTGAACTGCGTATGGAACTAGATAGTGAACCTGTGAGGTTGTGGAGTACAATAATATAGTCTGTGTCACGGGTACAATTGTGTCTGAGCTGAAAAAACTGGCTGTTCTCTAGGTTTTGTACCCAACGAGGATGGTGGCAACTCTGAAAGTGTAGATAAGAGTTGCCTGCCATGGGCTTGGTGTAATTGTGGGCATAGATCGTATTACCCTCGTTCCAAATCTAGAAAAGCCAGATTTTCTGCATCACAGACTGAGGTAAAGGACAGCCTCATGTTGTTACAGGGTGCTACGAATGACTCCACTAACATGGCTGAGCTGTCCTAAATGACAATAATATCATCTATATAACGCTCATAAAAATTATGGGCTGCATAAGGGTTTTCTTGTCAGATTGATTGATGTTCCCAAATAGTGATATTAGCATAGCTCGGGGCACAATGTGCCCCCATAGCTGTGCCCTGGTTCTGTAAGTAGTAATCCCCATTAAGTTCAAAATAATTATGGGTCAAACAAAACTCAGTAGCTTCTAGGATGAAATTCACCTGTTTAGGGTTAAGTAAGGAATCATTTGCCAAGAAGTGTTGTACTGCTTTCAAACCAACCTCATGGGATATGGATGTATAGAGGGAGTTCACATCGAGTGATAGCCATAGGTATATAGGCTCCAAAGTGTATTTCTTAAGCATATCAAATAGGTGTATTCCATTGCGAATGTATGTCGGAAGACCCTGGGCCAATGGTTGTATAAAATGGTCAGCATAAATCGAAAAATATCTGGTAACACTCTCCATGATGGGACGCCCCCCCGGTGGATGAGTAGCATCTTTATGAATCTTAGGTAGATGGTAGAAATATGATCTTTTGTAAAAGTATGTCTGGAGAAAAGCTGTTTCAGTTTTGTCAGTTACCTTCTCTAATTGAGGTAACGGGCAGCACAGTGGCTAAATGGTTAGCACTTCCGCCTGTCAGTACTAGGGTCGTTGGTTGAATCCCAGCCACCGCACCACCTGCCTGGAGTTTGCATGTTCTCCCTGTGCCTGTATGGGTTTCCTCCGGGTACTCCGGTTTCCTCCCACACTTCAAAGACATGCTGGTAGGTTAATTGGATCCTTTCTAAATTGTCCCTAGTATGTGTATGTATGAATGTGAGTTAGGGACCTTAGATTGTACACCCCTTGAGGGTTAGGGACTGATGTGAATGTCCAATATATATGTGAAGTGTTGCGTAAAATTGACAGTGCTATATAAGTACCTGTAATAAATAAATAAATAATAGAAGCGCTTTCTATAAGAGCATGGGCCTCCTCTTTAAACTGCGGTAATGGGTCACATCTAAGCCTTTTGTATGTACTAGTGTCAGAGAGTAGGCGTGAAGATTCTTTAAGATAGTCAGCTCTATTTTGAACAACGATGCCCCGACCCTTATCAGGTGGTTTGATTATCAGTTTATGGTTTTGGGACAAATTGCAGAGCGCTTGAGTCTCCGTGTTGGTAAGATTTGATTGTGAATGTATGGGACTGAAGGTCCTATTACACATGCGTATGATATCCTCATATACCACCTGATAAAAACTTTGCAGATATGGGCCCTTAGCAAAGGTGGGGTTAAAAATGGATCTCGGTTGGAGGGCTGCATGTTGTACTGGGGGAGAGGTGGGTAGATGTTGGGAAGGGAACATGAGAGAGTCTTCAACATCCTCTGT